CGAGCGCGGTTCGGTCCGCGCCTCGGGTGGCTCGTTTTTGCAAAGTGCTCCTCGGAGCCCGGTTTTGACACGGCAGCTCATAAGCTCATAAGCTGAGGCGAGCTAATCTAGGTGGGGGAGTGTCCGCGTCTGTGCCCTCTCCCTCTCGTTCTGTTTCTAAAATTAGCAGCTCCCCAAGTTAGGAAGGATCCACCCATCTCGCTGTACCTTGCACAAAAGCGCTGCTACACAAACTGTCTTGCAGGATTCGAACTCTGAGTCTTGTAATCAGTAACTTACTCTGTTGCGGGGGGAAACAAAGTAAAATCTTGCATGTAAATCAGTTTTTTATTTTTGTTTTTTTTCTTTCCCAGATCAGAACAAAGAGGCTACAGCCTGTTATCAAAATGCAGTATTCCCATCACTGTGAGCACCTTTTAGAGAGACTGAACAAGCAGCGAGAAGCCGGCTTTCTTTGCGACTGCACTGTTGTTATTGGTGAATTCCAGTTCAAAGCGCACAGAAATGTGCTCGCCTCTTTCAGCGAGTACTTCGGTGCATTTTACAGAGACACGTCTGACAATAATGTTGTTTTGGATCAGACTCAAGTGAAAGCTGATGGATTCCAAAAACTCCTGGAATTTATTTATACGGGAAACTTAAACCTTGACAGGTAACATATGCTATTAAAGGGGGGGAAGAAAATAGGGAAATAAACTTTGTGTTAAGGCAGTACTGGGGTTTTTGTTCTTTCTAATAAGTTCTGGAGGAACAAATAGTAGTGGATGTGATACATTTTAACAAGTTGAAGATCCTCTGTTTCTGTGTTTTAAAATACCACATGGTATGTGAGTGCCAGAACAAAACTATGTTGTCTGATATTTCAGTTATTGATAGTTTCACTCTCCAAATCTTTCTGTCTGGATTGGAAGGCATTGAAAATCTGGCGTGATGACTGGGAGAGGGAAGGATAAGTGTATTCTTTATGAAGCTGGATTATAAAAGTCCATTTTTGCAGAGAACACACAGAAACTTTATATACAGTAGAGACTAAAGGCTGAGGAGTGCATGAGCATAGGCACAATTCTAAAAATACACGTTTGTTAGAATGTGCACGATCTGGTACTTAAAATCTTATATTACAGTGTCTAAAAGGAGTCACGGAAGAAGTGTTTCCCCCTTTACTGCGTTGATTTTGTGCCTGTTGTGTTGCTTCACGTACAGTGACGATTCTTTGCAGTGCTTTTCTCTCAGGGAAAGAAAGAGATTATCCCTCATGAGGGAAGTGTGACTACTTACAAGTATGTAGGCCAAGATTTTAACTCCTTTCTCAATGTCTGGTGTCAAATGCATTTTAAAAATGTTTTGTTATTATTGATGTCTGAAGACTTGTACTTGATAATTTAATTACGCAGATGTGGGGTGGTGGGTTTTTTTAAAATTAGCCACAAGCATTAACAGCACACAGATATGTGGTGAAGTGAGTGATCGCTACTTTGCAAATTACTTATGAGCAGAAGTGTGCAGCGTTCTTGATGTCTGTCTGGGACGGCAGCAGGAGGGTTTCTGGACTCATTCTGAGCAGTTGAGACCTCTGAAGGAAGAGGAGGGTGAAAGTGCCATTCTCACCCAGGGAGAACTACTTGACTGAAGATGGCACCTGCCCATCTGCTTGTGTGCACCCATTATCTTGTACTGTACCCCCTAAGGGCACTGTGGCAGCTGTCTGCAAATCCTGGGGTCTTCTGTGGTGGTGGGTGCGTGGGTGACACCAGGACCGTGTACTTTGAACTCAGTGCTAGTATAATAGAGGACACTAAACCAGTTGTATTCATGTACAGAGAGTAATTGTGGCTAGTAACTTACTATTTAATTACATTTACTGTGTAGTAGATTCTTAGAATGATGTTGTTTATCATTAATCTCCCTTTAAAGTGCTGTAAATCCATAAATGCATTGGTGGTAGGTGTGGCCACATTTTCTAGATCAATTTTTTTTCTAAACCGTCGAAGGCTGTGTTGCAGGAACTTCAAAATAGAGCATAGTAGTTTAAATAAGGACTTCCTTGGTGTTCGTGTTATGTGTGTGCAGCTGATAGAGAATTAAGACTGTTTGCAAGTCGTTTTATAAAACAGGATTAATACCTGCCTCACAGAAGTGCTCAGCGCTTGTGAATTACTTAAGACTTTCAGCAGAAGGATTATAGAATGGCAATTTATGCAATTTATTCTCTGGTGGTTTATCCCTTTGTGCAGTGATTTCTGAGCTTTTTGGACCAACAGCCCCATGTTTAGCCTCACCAAGACCTTACAATTGGTCTTTTAACTTAAAATTATGCAAAAGGGATGTAACTGAAAATAAAATTCACAGTTCTGTGGCTCTGCAGACCCCACTAGGCATGGGCCATCAGTTCGGGGGTAATTGTCATACTAAGGTCTTGCAGCACTACAGGCTAAGAGATTAAATCTTGCCATAGGTGTTCTCAAAGTTATATTTTCTGACAGTGTAACTTTGCTGTAGCTCTGCTTGTATTTGATACAGTTGGTACAGAACAAATGCTGGCTTTATCCAGAATATTGTCACTCAAGTCTTGTTTTCTTGCAGCTGGAACGTTAAAGAAATTCACCAGGCTGCCGACTATCTCAAAGTAGAAGAAGTCGTCACCAAATGCAAAATCAAGATGGAAGACTTTGCTTTTATTGCTAATCCCTCCTCTACAGAGACATCTAGTATCACTGGCAATGTTGAAATGAATCAGCAGACTTGCCTTCTGACTCTGCGAGACTACAATAATCGGGAGAAAGCAGACACTGCTTCTGCAGAGTTAGTTCAACCACAGGCAAAGAAAGCAGCTTTAGAAAAGAAATCTCCTCAAACCAAAAAGCGAAAGAAGAATTTCAGCTCCCCCAAAAGCATACAGAATAAATCCGTACAATATCAGAATGATGCGACCGAGAACACATCCATTGAAATGTTTTTAGATGCAAATAAGCTGGCCACCCAGATCACAGAACAGGCTGCCCAAGGCAGTGATAACTCTGAACTACAGCTGGCATCTGTGGTGGAAAGCGAAACGCTGGCAGCGCAGGAGATCCTAGTTCAGTCTATTGCAGCAAAACAGAAACGGGGAAAGCCTCAGCAAAGCTGCGCACTGAAGGAGCACTGTATGTCCAACATAGCCAGTGAAAAGAATGCTTACCAGCTGGAGAGTTCAGGGGAAGAGCTTGACCAGAAGTACTCCAAAGCTAAACCAGTGTGCAACACCTGCGGAAAAGTCTTTTCAGAAGCTAGTAGCCTCCGTCGACACATGAGAATACACAAAGGAGTGAAACCGTACGTGTGTCAGCTTTGTGGGAAGGCGTTCACCCAGTGCAATCAGTTGAAAACACATGTAAGAACTCACACAGGTAAGCCGCTGGCCTTGTCTTTGTGGACCATGGAGACCTGTAATCGCAGCTTGTGAATACAGGACTAAAAAGATCTTCTGACTTCTCCCTCTAGGAATTTTGTCTGGTGCTGGTACCTACATCCTGATAGCATGAAGTGTTTTGGCATTTTTCAGTACAAAATCATAGTTTTTTACTTTAAATAGCTAGACTTTATTAGTCTGAGCATCTGGATTTCTGGAAAGACTCAGAAGAGCTGGCTAGAGTGATGGAGTGCAAAAACCTATTGCCAGTAGAGCAATCACTGTACTTGATAACAAAAGTGGAGAAGAATGCAATCTCGTAACAAGCAGATCACTTCTCCCATAGGGCCTTCAAAAAGGGAGGGGAGGTGGCTGAATTACTACAGCATTTGGGATTTTATTTAGTAAAATTTGCAGCTGAAACGTGTGATGGCGTTATGGTCTCTGCCTTCAATAACATTACCAGAAGTTTGTGTTGAATCAAGAGCTACTGAACAAAACATGAAAGAGAAATCAACTATGAATGCTTAAAGGTTAAGACAGCATGTCTGACTTAAAAAGATTATGAGCAGCAACTTGCTGGAGCCTGGGAACACATACAGGAGAAGTGCTGTGCTTGTCTTTTCGTATGTTCTTCCCTAGAGATGGAAGACTTGATGCTGAGTTAGTTCATTCTTCAGGCTGATCTGGCATAGTTGCTGTTGGTTTTGCTGCTGTTCTTAACCCAGTGAGCAGCAGAGGGACATGGTTTATGTAGTCTTCTTCCTTGTGTGGCTGGCATTCAGAATTCTGAAGTAACGGTGAATCAGATACAAAATTGTTTGCTTTTGCTCTTTTTCCCCTTTGGAAAAACTCAGCAGAGGCCAGCAGTGGAGCTCTTTACAGGAAGCTGTGAAGATGTAAAGAGGTGAAGTAGGAGGTGTTGAAGTACAACTGCAGGATAATGCCTTTCTGTAACCAAGGGAGAGAATTTCAGGTGTTGTCAGTCAGTGACTAACCAGAGATTCGTGTGCAAGATGAAGCTTGTGAGCAGAATTCAGGGACAGTTTGCTGGTAGGAACGTCAGCTGCGCTTTCTACTTTTGAGGTATTGTACTGGGAATTTTTGTACGAGTAGGTAGGCAATTTCATGGTGCTGGTTGCTAGGTGGCAGGTTAGATGTCTGATACTTTTATTTTTGAAGTCTTTATGTACACAATGTATATTATATAATAATATATATACTTAAGATATCTAGAGTTCTCGGTCTGATTGTGCACTGCCATAGAAATGCAGAGATTGGCTCTTTTATACTGTCATTCAGACTGCAGAGTTGCATGGTCCATTACATGAGACTGTTGACCACTAAGAGAACATGAATAGTCAGATTCTCCATCAGATGCTAACAAGGAATTAGTGAGCACTAGACTGTTAGTTGAAGACTTGTTGCTGTTTGACAGGCAAGAAAAAGCAGGTGATTTACTGGTTCATCTTGAATATTCAGAATCATGAAAAGACATAACCAGCAAAAAGTCTGAAAATGTAGTAGTAACATTCTTAAAATAATGTGGGAAAACCAGCACTATTAAAAATGTTATTACCTTTTTTTTACCAAAAGGTAACGTGCTAAAAAATAGTCTGTTAGCTGCTGTATTCCTGGCACGTTCCACTTCAGTGGACTGATTACAGGATGTTCCAAATTGTTATTTGTAAGAAATGTTGGAACAGACACCTGAGCTTTGGTCAGGTAATGGATTGCAAAGCTTTCTTACGTAAATGCAGAGAGCACAAGGGTTTTATTTTTCACTAGGGGAGAAGCCATACAAATGTGAACTGTGCGACAAAGGCTTTGCTCAGAAGTGCCAGTTAGTGTTCCACAGTCGGATGCATCATGGAGAAGAGAAACCGTACAAATGTGATGTCTGCAACCTGCAGTTCGCAACTTCAAGCAATCTGAAGATTCATGCCAGGTGGGCAGAAGTGAGATCCTGCAAATGCTTATCCATGTGTTTATTGAAGCAGAACAAAGTGTGAGAAAGAGTTACACATCCACATAATTTGGTCATTTCTACTCCTTTTCTTGTGGGTTTTCTCTCACGCTGCATAACAGGATAACTGCATCGATGTACTTGCTCATGAGGAAGGCAGTTTGTGATTTATGAATGTTACAGCCTACGCACTGGTATCCTTATGGCAGTGATGTGGGTTTTGTTTTAAACTGCTGGTAGCACCAAAGAGGACAGAGTTCCTTGGTGGGAAGTGAAACAGAATCGTTCTCACTGTTCACTGCTATCTGCATGGGGCTTTTTGCATTTTTGGCAGGAGCAGGAATTACATTCTCTTGTTAGAAATCATCGTTTTGGTTTTCAGTACCCTATGAAGCAAAACATGCTGAGTTCTCATGGGGTATGTTACATGTGCAGGGCATGTAGTTCATCTCCCACTGAAATCACGGATGTGCTGATTCCCAGAGTCAACAGACAATGAATTTCACTCCACGAGAAACTGCTAACTCAAAAACCAAATTCACAGTTGTTAAGTTTTTTTTAAATTCACAGAACATTAGCGCAAGGAACTTTGGGGACAAAGTACTAATTGAGGAAAGTTACTTAGTCGTGGGTGTAGCTTCCCTTTCTGCCAGGAGATCATGGATGTCTGTGTTCGTTCGCAGGAAGCATAGTGGCGAGAAGCCCTACGTGTGTGACCGGTGTGGTCAGCGGTTTGCTCAGGCCAGCACACTCACCTACCATGTGCGTCGTCACACGGGAGAGAAACCTTACGTGTGTGACAGTTGTGGAAAAGCCTTTGCTGTCTCCAGTTCTCTCATCACCCATTCCCGAAAACATACAGGTAAGAGGAGGCAGAGCACTGCGGTACCAGAACAGGCCTGGCAACGAAGGACTGGATAGATTGGATATTAGGAAACATTTCTTCACCCAAAGGGTTGTCAAGCGCTGGAACAGGCTGCCCAGGGAACTGGTGGAGTCACCATCCCTGGAAGTGTTTAAAACACGCGTAGATGTGGTGCTCAGCGACATGGTTTAGTGGTGGACTCGGCAGTGTTAGGTTTACAGCTAGACTCGATCTTAAAGGTCTTTTCCAACCTAAACAATTCTATGATTCTATGACTGGCTGCCAGCAGAGGGGTTGGAGATAGGGAATGACCAAGAACTGTAGCTTGGGAGTTACCTCTGGAGTTGTCATCCAGCTCCTTTCCCTTTGACCCCAGTTTAAGGATCTCTTTTGCTCATCGGACATTACTTCTGTTTCATTTTCATTTGTTCTTTATGTGTATTCTGGTTTATATATTGAAATATCAAACTCCTTGTGTTTCCTTTAGGAGAGAAGCCATATATCTGTGGCATTTGTGAAAAAAGTTTTATTTCCTCTGGAGAGCTCAATAAACATTTTCGGTCCCATACAGGTCAGTTTCCAGACAGGCCACTTCCTGCACTATAAATAATACTCTACCTTTACCCTTTTCCCTTTAAAATACACCCAACAGTGCTGCACTTGAAAGTAGCACAGTTTCTTAATTTTTGTGTCTCTGTGTTAACATCATTTAAAGAAAATATTTGTGAAATTTTTTTTAACTGCCTTCTTCAAGCTAATTTCTGTGTAACACCGCAGCTGTTGATGTGTGATCATGGCTTTACTTCTAACGTGGGGTTTGCTTTGGGTTTTTTTTTTTTTTTTTGCTTGGTTTTATTTTGTTATTCTGGAAACAATTTTATTCTGAGTAAAGACAAAATAACTTCTTGTGTTTTAAAATACAACTTTGAAATCCATTATCCTACATCTCTAACTGTGTTTTCTTTCAATTTCAAGATTGTTCTAACTGCCAAAGCAATTTTTTTCAGGTGAAAGACCATTTATCTGTGAAATGTGTGGAAATTCTTACACAGATATAAAAAATCTTAAGAAGCACAAAACGAAAGTTCACACAGGTGAGTTCCAGGCCTAAAATTAGAAAATAACAGATTTTTGGATAGTAGCTCTCTCTGAAGCTCAAAGCATCAGCTTTAGAGGTACCCAAACCTTTTAAAGCATAAAGTACCTGCTTTAAAGTAGATTCAAGACAAATTGTCAAGCATTTGCATTGCTATAGGAAACACGCATTGAACAACATACAAGTGGATTGCTGCTGACAAGAATTTCTGTATGTGAATATATACTTTCTTGTCCTAGTAACTTGTGACAGCTTTCCACGTGAAGGCATAGTCTAAATTGTAGAAAATTTTTTACCTCTTCTGATGTTTTTACGAGGGCAGTAACTGAGGTGAACAAGGCCTGCTGGTTACAAGAATTACTTTACATCTTGAAGGCCCAAATATTTTTAATGCAACAGCGAAAGATTTGCTTATATGTGCAGTCCATGTTAATCCAAGTCTGGGCTGGATTAGCAAACACACAAGATCAGAGAGCTGGTAAAATATTCCCACCTGCAAACACTGCTCTAAAAAGTCTTTTCAAATGCATTCAGTTCCTATTCTAGATACCAGATTGTGATTAGGAAGAAATTTGACATAAATTACTTGCTCATGGTACCAAGCACAGAGCTGTTCAGATAGCCGGCCTCTTTCAACACTGGTTCCATATGCCTCATTATGTGTCCATCCTTAAGTGTATTAACCATAATTCCCTTGCCTCTGTCATGTGGAAAAAAGGAATAATAGGTGTCTGTGTATGCCTGGATTGGGAGGGAGAGGATGAAAAAAGAAGAGTCATGTGCAGAGGCAGCTTTGAATGTCAAAAGCTCAAGAAGCCCTGTTTGGGAAGGCCCCGGTGCAGCAGGAAGCCAGCAGAAACAAGGGTGAGGAGAGAGCGGCAGTGAGCGTGGAGAGAGCCCAGCAGAGCCGGGGCTGGGAGAGCTGCCAAGGCAGGTCAGCTCTCATGGAGAGGCAGAAGGCAGACAGGAGTGCTTCACCACTGAAATAACAGGCTTCAGAGCACACTTTGATAGAGCCAGGGTCAAATATCCAACATGGCTTAATCAGAAAGCCATCCGAGAGCAGTGGCAGGCAGCATTCAAACAGAAGGCAGTGAGGAATCTGTTAACAGTGATTTCAATTCAGAATAGAAAATAATTTCTCAAGTGACTGGATAAAAACTGTAATGGTTCTGGCTGGAATGGAGTTGACAAATCTTGTCTTATGAAGATGTTTATGGATAAATGATACATTGTATGTTGCTGTCTCAGTTAAAAGAGGATGCTTGGATGTGGCTGTGGTTCTCAGGTTTTCTGGGGTGGAAAATCTCAAGGAAACCTTCATAATTACATTTTTTCCAAAGCTCCTTTGTTCACTGTCATGTTAAGGATTTGTTATCTTCTGTACCATGCCAAGTAGAGATCAAGTAGGAATGCATCGCCCGTCTAGTTGTCATGCTACAAGCAGCAGAGATGTGATTCTCAGTGCTTACATTGTACTTGCAGCTCTTTCTGGCTTTGCGGCACATTGAAGTCACTGATAGCCCAGCTGTCCATGCAGTCTTTGACACATCAAGTGTTTGTTTTGACAGTCATTTGAAAGGCAATTTTGCAGAATTTGTGCAGGAGCTTTTGAACATTTCTTTATTTTTCTTTCCCCCAGGATCTGAAACTCCCCCTGATTCTAACGCACTCGATAATTCTTTCAATGAACAAGAATCCATTCAGAGTCAGAAAAGTCCTTTATCGGAGTCCATAGATGTGAAACCCTCTGAGATGTCTTTAGCACTTCCTCTTCCCATTGGGACTGAAGACCATCAGATGCTGCTTCCCGTGACGGGTAGTCAGTCTCCTTCCTCAGAAACATTACTAAGATCTGCTGTGACCGGATATTCAGAACCTCAGTTTATTTTCTTGCAGCAGTTATACTGACAGTGCAGTACAGAGCCATCAAGGTAACTTGGTAGTGAACTTGCGTACATTTGGTAAGACGAACACAAGCAAGCGGTCACACTTTTTGAATTGGACTTTTTTTTTTTCTGCCCCTCTGTGTAAAGACACTTATACGGCATTTCCATTGTGTAGTGTTGTCGTTTGGTTTTTGTTCGATCGTGCTAATCTACAGTCAAATTTTTATTTGCAATTAACACTGATTTCCAGGAGACAGTTCCTTTCCAGAAACACCTGCCTTAAGAATTCTCTGTTAATGTATTTTGGAGATCTCCTCCCATGTTCCTGCTGACCTGATGTGTCACAATGTCACTTGAGAGCAGACATTTTAAGCCATATTTGATAGTTTAAGAGGTGTAAGGGGAAAATCCTAATTTGAATGTACTAACAAGCTTGTACTCCTGCATTCCGAGGTGATATAATGGTACATGAGGGAAGGTAGGCCAGTGCTCTGGTGAGGTGCTTGCAAAGAATTACTGCTGTCTGCCAGAAGCAGCTGTGTTCAGTTGAGTCTGGCCAGAAAGAAAGTTTTGTGTATATTTTCCTGACAAGGCAAGTAAGGAAGGTTAATTTTTTTTTTCCTGTGGTGTGGTAAGTCGGAGGGTTCTAATGGCATAGATAGTACTGGGTTTTCTTTCCAACCAGTCACTTTTTTTTTTTTTTACTTTTATTTCTTAATGAATCCAGCGTCCTTGTGTCTTGTCCCAGATTTATTTTTCACATCCTTAAAATGCCCTGGTTTTGGCACAGACAGCAAGATTTGTCCAAAAGGACAACTGGAACGTGCATGTTGTAGATGAGACAAAAAGATGCACTGACTAAATTGAGGCATGGATCGTAGCTTCATAATCCTTTTTTTACAGTAGTGCTGCTTCTTGTGCTAGACAGTAGGTACAAAAGAAGAAATAAATCCTGCCCTTCACTGTGAAAACAATAAGTGAATGCTACATCAAGGGGCATTAAGAAAAAATACAACAGACCAGATTGATATTCTTCCAGGCAAGGTTTTGTTAGAGTATGACTGATTTGTTTTAATTGAATTATTTAATGTGTTGCTTTACCTCTCATGTCACTTGTCCACAGTAACTGCACAAAACTGGTAATCTAGCAAGACTCCTATAAAGGTATGTTTTATAACTAGTAATGTACATTTTTAAAAAGCAGCATTTTTAGTGTCTTGGTAGGGTCGTTAGTTAAAGACTAGTTGACAATAGGAGTACTTGTATACTCCGTTTTGCCAGTTTGTGCCATTAACATAATGTAAGCATTATTTAAGTAATCATCAAATAGTAAGGAAACAGTTATAATACTGTACCAACAATGCATTTAAAGATATTATTTGTTGGTTATTTACTTGGTGCTAGCATTTTATTTCCACTGATGCCTTGTGTCCAGACACTGATAAATAGAAGAGCATAGGAGATACCTCTTAACCGATTCTGTTCTACATGGAGTAATAATTCATCTGCACCTTAATTAAACCGACTTGTGAAAAATTTCTTGGAGGATTTCATTTAAGTATTCTGAAAATGGTCCCTTGACTCCTGAGCATGATGACAGATTTTTTTTTTTTTCCCCCTCTTCCTACATGCTTGTACTTGTAATAGACCTTTCGCTTCTTTGTGTTCATCATCTTGGTATGCGGCATGTTTAAAACTCTGCTTCTTGATCGTATTTTATGCTTTAACATCTGGCCAATTTGCTGATAAAGTCTACTGTGGACAGCAAGGAGTACAACCGTGTTCACCAGGAACATTATTAATGCAGGCATCGCTAACTCTGTCCACTGAAGCTAATTATCACCATACCTGCTTGACCTTTATTTTCATTGCTTATCCGTACCGCAACAGTTGTGAACAGCTGATGTCCTTCATAATGCTGGCGAAGGACAATGGATGAAGTTCTGATTCTTTTTTTTTTTCCTGTTTGTTTGGCATTTGCCCCTTTCCTCCCACATTTTCTCTTGTAGCTTCTTTTGTTGATGTAGCACCTGAAGGATTCCTTAGCCTTGCCGTTTATGACTGAAGAACCACAAAAATCAGGATCTTAACTCTGTGTAAAAAAGCAAACTCTGTGTAGCTTGTCCTAAGGTTCCTTTTTGCTTTCCCTCTCTGAAGTTAGAGCAGAAGTCTTGGGATAGAATAGGCTTAGTCATGAATACTGAAAAAGAACGATACCGTACAACTGATACATTTCATATTTAAACAGCTTTGGAAGATAAACTAATGATATGCTGCTGTTATCAGAGGAAAAGTATCTGAAGATTAATATATCCAGGATAAATGACCACAAGGGAGAACTAGCTCTGGAAAAAAAAAATTTAAAAAAAAAAAATCACATTCCTACACAGAAAATACATTCCATAACAATGTTTGTTTGGACTGTTTTTATATTTCTAAAATTATAGCTTATTACTGTATTCTTAGCTTTGAGACTTTTTTAAAAAAATACAGTGCTTAGATTTATACAGGATTCGTTTAGATACTTATAACAGTAACACTTGCTTTATTAGTCACTTAGTTTTCTTTATAGACAAGAAGATAATCATTATTTTTTACAAGACAACAATTTTAACCTTCTTAATAGAATACACAGGCTTGTAGTTTTGTCTTGGAGCAATAATTTAGTGACCTGCACTCTTGAGTCCCCATCTGAGAGTCTTGATTTTTATCCTCATCTTTCATGAAGATATCTCAGCTGCTGAGGTATGATCTCTATGAACTGTATTCATTTACTAGAATATAGATTTTAAATATAAAAATATATATAAA